GGTTCGGTGACGAGGAAGACAGAACTGCACACGCACATAGTTTCGAAGCCCCGCGCGGACTTCTCGGATCGGTGTCGAAGTCCCCTTGGCGGCGCCTTACGCGCCCCAGGGAGGGGGACTCAGCGCAGATGCAAGAAGTCTGCAGGAAGTCTCGACATCTATGTTTAAGTCGCGCCTGTCCCTCTACAGGAGGAAAATCCAAGAGCAGTCAAACAATAGTGCAGGCACGATTTTCCTCCAAAATCCGCCTGTAGGAGGACATGCCCGACCTAGATCTATGTTCGTGTAGCTGATGCTTCCCGTATAGGAGAAGGCCGAGACGGAGGCCGACGCCGAGGACGCCGCCAAGGAGCTGGAGCCACAACGAGCTCAAACATCATAACACATACTGCTCATACTCTCTGAAGCAGGCATCTGGAACACAGCTTGAAACTTTGCAATACAACACATCAGCCACGATTGCTCGACGCTGAGATCCCCGCATGTGTATCTCATTTTCCTGGCACGTCTCGCTCGGAGCGTCTGTTGGTTAATATCTGCGCGCGGAATCGAGTCTGAATGGACGACGGGTGTGACGAGGGCGACAACCACGACATCAGTGATGGCCAACGAAGAGAAAACGATTATTAACTGACATGCAGGGTGTGACCAGACCTCCCGCCGCGACTTGGGGACTGGAGGAGAATGCCGAGGACGGAGCAAGGATGGTGTCGAGGAGAGATACGTACCGCGGACATGGATGAGGCAGGCGGAGGCATGAACAGGGTTGAAAAGCCATGGAGGGGCGTCTTTTGAATCGGGGGTGGACAGACCTCCTACCCTGACACGTCGATTAAGGAATTGGCCGTTTTCGGTTCGCGAGAGGGCGTCGCGGCCGTCATTTTTGCGGGTCCAGCTCCGTCGGTTTCGGTCCCAGGCCGTTTTCACTAAGGGGAGGTTTACTAAAGGGAGGTTTGTCCACCGCCGATTGAAGATCCACCAAGGCGCGGCGTGAACTGCAAGCTATCGCGCAATCGGCATGGGGCGGCGCGTGCAGTGGCTGCTGGCGCGACCAGCGGTGGACAAAGCAGCTGTCCGCACTCGGCATCCGGGCTCGCGCGACGAGCGGCGGAGAAAACAGCCGCCCTCGCTTGGCATCGGGCCGATCGCAGGCCAGGCGACCGCCCGCGCTTGGCATCGGGCCGGGCGTGGCTGGGCGCCGGGGGAGCTGGAGAAGCTGCCGTCCGCATCGGGCATCGGGGCGGCAGCTCGGGGCCGCTCGCGCAATGGCCATAGAACAGTCGTCGGGCTGCTGTCTCGGGTCCGCTCCAGCAGGGCCGCCCGCGCTCAGGCATCGGGCCGCGGAGGGTGCGGGCCTCTGCTCGTCGTCTGGCAGGCTCCTCCCGTGCTCCTCGGCAGACGAGTGGAGGGCGAGGGGCATGCGGGGCCCGGGTACTGGGATCACGGATCCCAGGAGTGCCTCGCTCGAGATAGCCTCACGGCGTGCTGCGTGAAAGGAGGCGAGTTTGGGCCTCCAAACGGGCAGACCGCTCGAGACATCCCCGCTGTCTGGGCGCGAATCATGGAGCGATAATGCCCCACTGCAGCGCCGGCTATACCGCGGGGAGCATTGGACCAACGAAAGGGTTGGGGGGGGCCGACGCAATCAAACCGACCGATGCGTCCCCACAATCTGGGCTCTAAACATGAAATGCAAGCGCCTCTTGCGGCTCCCCCGTGGGGTGCCCGAGTGCCACGCCTGCTGTATCGCGGTGCGGCTGAGGCATCCCCACAAACTGGGGTCGAACTGTGGAGTGCCAGCATACCTGGGGGCTACCCCTTGGGGTGCTCAAGTGCGACGTCTGCTGTATCGCTGTGAGCATTGGGCCAGCAGGAGAGAGAAGTCAGAGGGGCAAGAGGGAAGTGAGGTGTCCCCAAATGCCACGCTTGTCATATCGCGGTGAGCATTGAAACGCCAAAAGAGGGCTCTGGGGGGCCGAAACGAGCAAACCGCTCGACTCATCCTCCCAATCTGGGGGCGAAAAGTAGAGTGCAACACGCACCTGGCCGCTCCTTTCTGGGGTGCCCAAGTGCCTCGCTTGCCATGCACATACATGTATGTATGTATGCATGCATGTATGTATGTAGACAGAAGTCTGGTGGGAGACGAAAGCAAACAGCCTGAGACATCTCCACATCATGGGCGTGAAGAGCGATGTGCAAACGCCCCTGGCGGCTACCCCTTGGGGTGCTCAAGTGCGACGCCTGCTACATCGCTGTGAGCATTGGGCCATCAGGAGAGAGAAGTCTTGGGGGCCGAAACCAACAAACCGACTGAGGCATACCCACAATCTGGGCGCGAAAAATCAAGTGCTACGGCCCCCCTTGAGTGCTGGGAGCAGCGTTTCGAATGAGACATCCGCACAAGCTGCGAGTCTGAGGGCGAGCGAGTTTGAGCGAGTCTGTCTGCGTATGGGTCTGAATGCGAGTGAGTCTGAGCGCGAGTAAATCAGAGCTTGGTTATTCTGAGTGTGACTATAGCCTCTGGCGGTTTCCTCTTGGGAGTTCTGAGTGCTAGGGGGTCTGAATGTGATTGAGTATGAGTGCTGATGAGTAAGTCCTAGTGAGTTTGAGTGCTCATGAATAAGTTTGAGTATGAGCGTATAAGTGGGTCTGATTGTGAGTAAGTCTATGTGTGAGTAGGTCATGATGTGAGTGGGTCTGAGCGTGAGTGAGTCTAAGTGTGAGCGAGGCTGAATGTTGTGAGTGAGTCTGAGTGTTCATGCGTCTGAGTATGGATGTGTCTGGGTATGACTGGTTCTTTATATGAATGCGTCTGCGCAAGAGGGGGAATGAGGGGAGGAAGATGATTGAGGAAGGAGGCGGAGGCGTCGTAAATAGTAATAATAATATTAGTAATACTATTAATAATACTAATAATAATAATAATAATAATAATAATATCATCTCGGGGTGTAGTGAACAGCACATACATCACAGCATACATAACTCCAGTAGAACATTTTGATCGAACGTAACATCACGCATTCCAGAAGCACATCACAATACCATTCGTATCGCCGTCTTGCAGCTCTCGCCGAGGTCTGCTTGCGGGAAGGTGTCTCCCGACCTGCGAAGGTCACCGAACACTGACGGACATCTCCGAGCACACTCGAAAGCCGACCTCACCCTTGGCAAGGCTTCGGGTTGCGCACAGACAACCTCCAAGCTAGTCCCGGCTGGCCTCAGCAGGCCCTAGCAGTCCCAGCTGGCCTCAGCAGTCCCTCCGAGAAGTCCGGGGCGGTGTCAACACCTTGGCGCCGCCTCCGGCGGCACCACTGGGGCGCTCTGCGCCCCAGGGTCGGGGTGTTGAGGCTTCCCTGGGCTACTCAGGAGGCCTGTTGAGGCCAGCTGAGACTACCTGAGGGGGCTGTCTGCGCGCCACCCGAAGCCGTGCCACTCGCCCTAGCAAGTTTCAGTGCCGCCCCGGATCCTGCTCCCTGGAGGTCCAAGAGGCCTCCACCCCGTTGCGGCTCTCCCAGAAGGCCCCCAGAGGGCCAGACGCGATCAGAGAGTCCTCGATCCTCGATCCTCGAGCGTCGCGTGAGAGCTTACCGCCCCGCCCAAGGATCGGCGGCGCAGGCGACGGGGCTCCTCAGAAGGTCGTAGGTAGGCCTATTGGCGATTGGGGGAGGAGGAGGAGGAGGAGGAGAAGAAGGAGGAGCTGGACGAGGAGGAGGAGGAGGAGGAGGAGGAAAAGGAGGAGGAGGAGGAGGAGGAGGACTTCTGCCTTCCCCCATGTGGGCGCGCCGCCGAGAGGAGCTGGAGGAGCTGCAGAAGACGGGCTTGAACCTCCACGGCGAGTGCGACTACCTGCTGAGGAACTTCGACGCGCGGCAGACGGCACGGCAGCAGGAGGTCGAGGCGCTGCAGCAGGCCAAGCAGATCCTGAGCGGTGCCAACCTCGGCTGAGCTCTGCCGGTCGGCGCGCGGGGGAGACCGTGCGGACGCACCGCGCGGGGGCGGGGCGGGTGGGTGAAAAAGGGGTCCCGAGGAGGAGAAGATGCCGATGCCGCTGCCCTTCCCTCATCGCCACGGCCGTATGCGTTTAGAAATCTTGATCAGAGCGCGCTCCGGGGGAGGTCCGGGGAGTAGTGGTACAGGTACTTTTCTGTTCTCCCGCATCTCAGAGGCCAGACGCAGCCTGGCACGTCAGACAGGGGATCGGGTTGCCAGCAGGTGCATCACGGACATTCCTCATCTCTCAGATGCCCCAGGGACCCGCAGGTGACCTCGGGCACCTCAGGGATGTAAAACATCGACGACGAGGGTGTCCCCAGATCTCATGCAGCAGGGCCTTCTCTTCCTATTTGTCTAGCCCTGAGATCCGACGTTGTGGAAACCTTCGGCACCGTGAAAAATCAGGACTGGTGCCCCAGACCCCGTCTTTCTGCGTCATTTTCCGAGCTTGATCGATCCGCGAGGGTCCCATGGCCCGAAACCGGGCGAATACGCCCAGCTCGGAGAATTTGCGACGCCAGGATCTCAGGGCCATGACTGACAGCACAAACTGCGGACGCTCGCGTGCGGCAGGTTTCTGCCTGCTCCTGGCCGCCTCTCTCTTCCGCATGCGGGGGAGGAGCTCGGGAGGGTGGCCCGGCGCTGGCGGAGATATGCCGCCCGCACTTCCCTCCTTCACTTCCTGTCTTTATACACAACTCCGCCCTGTTGCACCGCGAGCCCGGTCGAAAGGGCGGGCCGGGCGTTTCGTCTGAGACTTCCCCACCAGTCATGACCCTGAAGCTTAGAAACTGGCAACCGTTTCACGGGCGGGTGGTTTTCAAAATGTGGCTCTCGTCATAGCGCCGTGCACATTCGTGTAAACAATTTGCAAGCGTTTCACGGATCGAGGACGGTTCTTTTCCAGATTGTGGCTCTCGCCTCTGCACCGCGCGCAGTCGCTTTAAACATTTGGAAGAACTTCGCGGATTGAGGGCGGTTCCCTTTTCAACATGTGGTTCTTGCTTTAGCGCCGCACGCATTCGTTTTATACGTATGCAAAAGTTTCACGGACCCGCATGGTCAACGTGCCAGAAGTGGTGTTTCGGAAGGATTCAGGCTTGTGAGGGCGCTGCGGTTTTCTTGATTCGCGGTGTTGAAACCCCAGGAACGGTGTTCTGGCACGATTCAGGGTCGTCAAGACGCAACAGTCATGTTGTGTCGTGGCATTGGAGTCGCGCGAATGGTGTCTTGGCGCGCTTCAGGGTCTTCAAACGGTTTCCTCCCAGCGAGGCAGTTCCTCCAGTTGAAATGAGTTTGTAGTGGCCTATGAGAAGGGAGCTTGGAGGGAGGGCCGATTCCAACATCGTTGATGATTCTTGGGTTTCTACTGGCTCGTTTTCAAAATTTGGTTTTCGTTTTATCGTTGCGCACGTTCGTTTTCAAAGTTTGCAACAGTTTCAAGGATGGAGGGCGGTTCCTTCTTCAAACTGTGGCTATCACTTGAGCGCCGCGCGCATTCGTCTTATAGTTCTGCAGTGATTTCAAGGGTTCGTATGGTGGAAGTCCCAGGAATTGTGTCCTGGGACGGTTTAGGGGTTGTCAGGACGCCACATTGATTCGCGGTGTTGAAGCCCTAAACGGTGTTCTGGCAAGCTTTAAGAGTGTCAGAGCGCAACAGTCATGCTGATCCGCGGCGTCGAATTCCCAGGAACGGTATTTTTTGCACGATTGAAGAGTATCAGACGGTTTTCCCGTCATGGGCCACTTTCTGCAATGACCATACATACCCATGAAGAGGGAACTTGGAGGGAGGATTTCTTGCAACATCGTTGGTGCGTCTTGGGTTTACACTGGTCCTCCTCCCCGTCGTCCTCCTCCTCCTCCTCCTCCTCCCTCCTCCTGCTCCTCCTCCTCCTCTTCCTCCTCCTCCTCCCTTCACTGCCAGAGGTGGCCCTGGTCCAGGGTGGACAACCCGGCCTTCCTGGGTAGGCCCAGATGGCCTGAACACACTTCGGGAGGCACAGGAGCACACCTCGTGGCTTCGACCTTTTCCCTCGGCTCGTCCACGGAGTGGGCACACCGGCTAGCCTTGAACTCCCCTCTGCTGTGCACGCCGTGCTCGAAAAGAGAAGCCCCGATGATGGGCCGATTTTCCACCACCACTACCTTAGGTAGGAAAGGAGGGAGGGGAAGGAGGAGGAGGAGGAGGAGGAGGAGGACGAGGAGGAGGAGGAGGGAGGAGGAGGAGGAAAAGGAAAAGGAGGAGAAGGAAGAGGAGGGGGAGAAGGAGGAGGAGAAGGAGGACCTGCCCATCCTCCCTTCTCCCCCGTCCTACCTGTGGTAATGGTGGTGCAAAATTGGCCCATCACCCGAGCCCATGGGGCCAGGACCCCAGGACGGCGCGGAACGCTGGGGGGGTCACCCGCTGGGCCAGGATCACTTCTGCCAGCCCCCGATCCGCGGACGTCCGACGGTTCCCAGGAGGACCTCTAGGAACGCTTTCTCTTAGGGCCTGGCGAGCGGTCTGGGGCTCCTCCTCCTCCTCCTCCTCCTCCTCCTCCTCATTCCTCCTCCTTTTCCTCCTCCTCATCCTCCTTCTCCCTCCTCCTCCTCCTCCTCCTCCTCCTCCTCCTCCTCCCCACCATCGTGGATCCCTGCGCGGGAGGAAGAGAAGGAGGAGGAGGAGGCGGATGAGGAGGAGGAGGAGGAGGAGGGGGAGGAGGAGGAGGAGGAGGACGAGAAGTTGGAGGAGGAGGAGGAGGAGGAGAAGGAGGAGGAGGAGGAGGATCAGAAGGAGGAGGCGGAGGAGGCGTTTTCCCGTCTTGTGCGATATGCGGCCCGAGGGGTCAGGAACTGGTGAAAGACACCATGCGCAGGCCTATCCAGACATATGCGACGAATTGTTAAGTGTTTTACGGGAAGTTGGCCAGCTCGCCCCGCTTCTGGCTTCCTCCGCCCCCCCACCCCTTTTCCTCTCCCTATTCCTCCTCCTCCTTATACTCCTCCTCCTCCTCCTCCTCCTCCTCCTCCTCCTCCTCCTCCTCCTCCTCCTCCTTATACTCCTCCTCCTCCTCCTCCTCCTCCTCCTCCTCCTCCAGTAGAAGTCGCATGTGCACGTTGTCGAGCAGCCTGCCACCACAGCAGAGTGGGCTGCCTGGCTCAATGACCAGGCCGACACGGCCACCAAGCCAGGTTGCGCGCCTCCACGGCACCTCCACCTCCCTCGTCCCTGATCTCGGCGGCCCGCGAGGATGAAACGCTTCCTCCGAGGAGTCTCCGGGATGTTGTGCACGCGGCCCACCCCCAAGCAGGAAAAGGCCGTCCTGCGCAGGTTGCTCGCCTCTCGCGGGGCGGCTGCAGAGATCGCCCAAGAATCCGTTGTGGTCGGCCAGAGCCGCTGGCAGTGCGTACGCTGCCTGCGTTGCAAGGCGGCGCGAGAGGCCGCCCTCGATCGGAAGGAATGCCGAGAAGTCGAAGATCGCCCGCAAAGCCTGTGGGGCTCCCGTCGGCGAGATGCTGCTGTTCTGCAAGCGGCGCTCCGCGTGCGCGGCCAGCAGCCCTTACTTCGCCAAGCATCAATCTGGGTGGACGATGACAGAGGCGGCGCTGCACAAGCGGAGGTGGTTCTTGAAGGGCCGACACCCCAAGTGTGGCGAACGTGCGACGGGCATCGCGAGCTGGCAGGCTTCCCGTAAAGCAGTCAGAACTTCGGCGCCCATGTCTAGATAGCCCTGTGCATGGTGCCGTTCACCAGTTCCTGCCCCCTCGGGCCCTTGGGCCGCACATCGCAGGAGGAGTGAACAAGAATGCCTTCGCCTCTTCCTCCTCCCCCTCCTTCCATTCGGAGGTCCATGGTGGTGGCGAGGAGGAGGATGATGAGGAAGAGGAAGAGAAGGAGGAGGACGAGGAGGAGGAGGAGGAGGAGGAGGAGGAGGAGGAGGAGGCGGAGGATGAGGACGAGGAGGAGGAGGGAGGAGAAGGATGAGGAGAGGCGAGCAGCAGAAGGATGATGATGATGACGATGATGATGCTGATGCTGATGCTGATGATGATGCTGCTGCTGATGCTGATGCTGATGCTGATGCTGATGCTGATGCTGATGCTGATGATATCGATGCTGCTGATGATGCGAAGTAGGATGCGGAGGATGAGGATGGGGGGAGGTGGAAATGGTGGAGGAGGAGGGGGAGGAGGAGGAGCAGGCGAAACGGAGGAGGAATAGGAAGCTGATAAGAAGGATGATCCTACTGCTGCTGCTGATGCTGCTGATGATGATGATTACGATGGTGCTGCTGATGATGCTGATGATGCCGATGACGATTATGATGATGCGTGATGATGGTGACGATGATGATGTAGTTGTTTATTCTGATAATGCTGATGCTGATGCTGTTGATGCTGCGGCTGGGGATGACGATGCTGATCATGCTGATGATGATACGGCTGGATGATGATGCGATGATGACGATGATGATGATGCTGATGATGATGATGATGCTGCTGATGATGATGATGATGATGATGTTGCTGATGATGCTGATTATGAGGCTGGATGATGATGCGATGGCGAGGATTACGATGATGATGTGGATGGATGACGATGCTGACGATGATGCTGATCATGCTGATGATGATGCTGATGCTGATGATGTCGACGATGTTGATGTTGATGATGCTGCTGATGATGATGATGATGACGATGATTATGCTGATGATTCTGATGCTGATGCTTATGGTGATGCTGATGCTGATTATGATGATGATGATGATGACGATCATGATTCTGATGATGATGATGATGATGACGATGATGATGATGATGATGATGATGATGATGATGATGCTGACGATGACGAAGTTGCGGATGCTGATGATAATTAGGATGGAGATATCGGAGATGATGGCGCTGCTGGTAGTGCTGATGGTGATGATACTGATGATGCTGGTTAGTGGTGCTGTTGCTGCTGACGATGGTGATGATGGTGGTGGTGATGATGATTCTGACGATGCTGATGCTGCTGCTGATGATGATGGTGCTGCTGATAATGGCTATGCTGCTGATGCAGATGACGGTTAAGATGATGATTATTCTGATGATGATGACGAAGAAGAAGTTAATGATGATGGTGATGATGATGATGTTGATGCTGATGCTGCTGCCGATGAAGGCGATGGTGATGGAGGTGGTGATGATGATGCTGCGTATGATGATGCTGGCGATGATGCTGCTGATGATGATGAGGACAACGATGATGACGATGTTCAGGATGAGCACGATGATGCTGATGATGGTGATGCTGATGATGACGACGCTGATGATTATGAAGATGCTAATGCTGATGATGATGGTGGTGATGATGATGATGATGATGCTTGTGATTATGATGATGTCGATGATGAGGATGAGGATGAGGACGATGAGGAGAACGAGGAGGAGGAGGAGAAGGTGGAGGAGCAGGAGGAAGATGAGGAGGAGGAGGACGAAGAGGAGAGGCGGCGAGAAGGATTAGGAGAGTAATCGTGATGATGTTGCTGCTGCTGATGATGAAGGTGATGCTGATGATGCTGATGATGATGATGCTTATGGTGGTCATGATGATTATGATGCTTATGATGATGATGGTGATGGTGATGATGGTGACGATGATGCTGATGATGATGCTGATGATGCTGCTGACGATGATGCTGATGATGATTATGATGATGATGCTGATGCTGATTAGGATGCTGCTGCTGATGATGACGATGATGATGGTGATGCTGCTGATGAGGATGCTGATGCTGCTGATGATACAGATGATGATGATGATGATGCTGATGATGATGATGATAAGGATGGTGATGCTGGTGATGATGACGATGATGATGATGCTGATGATGATGATGATGATGGTGAGGTTGCTGCTGCTAATGATGCTGATGATGCTGCTGATGATGATGCTGATGATGATGCTGATGATGATGATGCTGATGATGATTATGATGCTGGTGATGATGCTGATGCTGATGCTAATGATGA